CACTAGAGACTGCTGGATATCGATCTAAAGTTATACATTATTTCTAATTTGATGAGAGATCATCATTATTCGTGCAAAAGTCGTGTAAAAGTCGAGAAACATTAAAAAGAAACCAGAAAGTTCACGACCTTGACATGCGCAGAACATCTGCGCAGTAGCTTTTGAAATTTCTGAATGCCGATAAAGAACAATTCCTTCATTCATTATGGATTATTATGATTCCTCGATGTTTCTTGAACTTTGTGAAGCGGGGTGGGCGCTTATTAGAGAGTGGGCGGTAATTACAGAGAATACGGTACTTACTATAAAATGTGAAAACAATGCTGAAAACCTACTTACTGTGAAAAGTGAATTCAATGGTGAACACCTATTTACTGTGAAAAGTAGATACAATGGTGAACACCTATTTACTGTGAAGAGTGATTACAAAGATAAACATATACTTACTATAAAATGTGAAAACAATGCTGAAAACCTACTTACTGTGAAAAGTGAATTCAATGGTGAACACCTATTTGCTGTGAAAAGTAGATACAATGGTGAACACCTAATTGGGGTGAAAAGTGAATATTAATCCTCAAGTGGCTAATTAATTAGAATTTAACTTTCTATAGTAAACATTGAAGGAGAAATTATAACAAGCTGACTACAATATCGTACCTCTTGTTAGGTACGATAAAAACTATTAATTCAAGCAACACTTCTTAGTAACACTATGAAACATTTTAGCGGATAAAATCAGCACCACAGTTGCAAATGCACACCGGAATAGCCTGACTTCAGTAAAGTCAGATACCGTTGTCACAAATGGCGGACATAACCGTCACTTCAACTGTTTAATCACTTGGTCCTCAATTCTGTACATGCATTAAGCTCTTGTGATAATGTATCATATGAAATCCCATTTTTGATCAAATTGGGTCGTGAATCGCCACAATATAGCCTCTTCGATATCGTCAATGACAACGGAATCTGAATTTGAGTAATTTAGAAAGACAACGGCATATGGTAATTACAGTGTCTGTTGTCCTGTATCTCATTTTGATCGGTTAAATTAAAGACTTTATTTCGATGGTAGAACATAATTAACTGTACAATGAGTATAAATACACTTTGATTGATTCTTGTTCCAAAGGAATTTAGTCTAGCTGCTCTATTAAACCTACAGTTCATGAAAATCTAATTGAAGCGACGGTTATGTCAGCCATTTGTGACAACGGTATCTGACTTTACCGTAGTCAGGCTAATCTGGGGTGAAATGGAATGTTAATGCAAATTTTATGTCTAACAACAAAACAATATAAGATATGATATAATATGAATATATTCCATTCCAAATAATCAACTATTGATTGGCTTTATTCCCCTATGCCTCAAAGAATGTTCATTGAAAAATGATAGCGAAGTCACTGCTCTGACGCAATTGCGTTGCTTCACAAGTCATAAGTAGAATTAAACTTAGGAGTTTGACAATCGGTGCTGGAGTTGAGACCATGCGCAGGGTCCTCCAGCCAGCTCTGCGGAACTGTGGCCCTGCAGGACTCTGACTGTCGGGGAAAGCCCAAGTAAACCTAATTCACTTTCAAACAACCAGGACGGTAGATCGTACCTGTCTTATCAGCTAGATAAGTCGCGCTGCGAGCATGATTGTTTGAAATTGGAGACAATTATGTACGTAGAATGCGATGCATATTTACATAATTGAATACTATGAACTGGTTTATCTTGAAGCATCTGCACTATCATTAGAATGTAATGAATTGCAATTGGGGAAGAATGAATTGAAATGAATAATTGCCAATTAACAAAAATATGTTAACTTAAATACGTGCTAGGCCAAACAATGAAGGTGATGAGGATGGGTGGTGGATACTTGAATTAACAAATGTAGAGCAACATGTATTCAGCTTGGTTACATTTGAAAGAAGGAAGAGCATTACAAATATAACTCTGATAATATGTGCAACCACAACATGTCCAACAAGTCACGCCCAGCTCTATATAAGGTTAAGCAGGCGTGGTTTATTTTGTTATCCATAAACCAAACTTATCAAAATAAGTTAAAAAATGCTGTCTAACTTTATATTACATTATTGCAAGAGATTACACAGAAAGTCGAAGGCCAAATTAAAAGTCACTTGCAAAATGTTTTATAAAGAGGGCAGCACAAGATGGTATTTTTGGAAGTCTGTTAACAGATGGAGTTGATAAAATTGTTTGAACTATCATATATTGTAATGTAATTAAACTATTTGAAGAAAGATTATTAAAGTAGTCTGTATAAAGTGTTTACTTAGTTGGCGATACATATACTGTACAGTATATTATTTATTTTTTATTTTTGGGATAGCAAATACTTATGTGTAATTTTGCGATCTACATTGGTTTCTTTGCCACTATTGGTTGGGCTAGCACGATTCTCTTGCTAGTGGCCAGTTCTTAGCCCTATTTGCAAAAATAAAGTTATATAATGGTTATGTACTCTATTGTGTAAGATTGTGTTGTATTATATAATAGTAATAAAGATTATTATAATTATAATTTGGCAACAAACACGAGTTGTTATGTCAACTAGTTATATAATTTTTCCAAACCTTGAGTGCCAAGGAAACAAGTATGATCCAGCTACATAAATGTGAATGACATTAGATACGATGATTAAATGGCTAAAATAAAGAGGAAGAAATATTGGATTCCACCCCAAAGTCATGAAAATATCAAAGGAACAATCTTTTTTTTCATCAAGGCTCTATTAACAACCACGAGATACATCACAGTAGCAATTTGATATTTTGCAAATTCACCAAAGTATAATCAAAATAAAATTTGTAATAAATAATTTTAAGGATGTGGCCTAAAATCTTGTGTGTATAAATTTTATTTATTTCATACCCCTATATTCATATGAGTGAAAGTTATCTTTGCGACAGTAATGTTAACATGTTCACTCTCCCGAATTAGACATTACTCTGTGAAAAGCACTGGAGGTTTCTGTAGCAAAAATTAATTTTCTCCAGTTGTGTTTACCCCAAAAAAACACCCACTGAGAAATCTGCAGAGGTTTCCAAACAATTTTGCCTGTTTGTTTAATTCTTCTTTTGTCTAATGAAACCCACCCGACAATTATGTGTTCTATGATAAATAAATTGATATTCATTCCATATCCAAACTCCTCTATAAAGGCCCTGGAAACTTCATCTATTGTTAGTGCATGAATATCCTTATTAGCACCACGCAAATATATTAATCAAATGCAGTATTACGCGGTTGTGCTATTAACACTAGCTACTTAATTATCTTCTTACAGAGTGTCCCAAAAAATTATACCAAGACAATCAAACTACATGAGTGATCAAGGAAATTTTGTCAACCGACAGACAATTTAATTAGCATAAACATCTGAAAGTTTCTAAAGGTTATCGAATTTCCAAGAGAGCTTGTTTTACAATCCCAAAGTTCAGCTTTTTTGAGTAGAAAAAGCAGTTATTCCTGTTTCATTTTGGTACAATTTTTAGGGACACCCAGTATCATCTATACATGTGTATATTTAACACATTACATGGATTATCTTAACCAGAATTCTTCATATTTGTTTTCACCATTGAAAAAGTTCATATATAAGGTACAGTGTAGTCCACAGTTTCAAAAGACAGGTTGAAAATCAAAAATTGGAATATCATTTCAACATTTAATTACAATATTCAGGATTTAAACTACTTGTACAATAATGTGAATATCCACAAAGAATGTAAAAATATTATCTATCATGTAAAAGGTTTTCATTTCATTTCATGTTTCTTTTTAGTTACTGATGTAATTTTCAAATTTCACTAGATGCGAGTAGAAATAATCTTGATTTACATCATCAAATATTCAAAATATTTCATTTTTGAAATCTACATTTAAAAGTTAATGTAACCAAAAGTCACCTAGAAATATGATTTTCAACAAATGTTTACCAACTTTAAAAATTTAATTTTTAAGTTTGGGAAAATTCCACATAGACCCCATGTTAATAAATCACAAGTGAAATATTTTTTTTTGGTATTTTACAGATAATATTTTCTTTTACTGGACATATTTTAATTTGCGTAACTATTAGATACATATGGGTGATATGAAAATTGATCCACTGAAACTGATGAATATTCAAGACAAAGGGAACTTTCCAAGCTGCCATGCTATCTGACCCAAATGAGCCACCTGGTGGTGAAACTACCTACTCACATCTAGGTTATTCACTCAAGATTTCCCGACCTTTCCTTGGCTTTTTTATGAATTCAACATTTTTGTGAAAATTCAAATATCATGATATCTAATGTAAGAAAACTGTACAGATAAATACTGTATGTACCGGTATGTACAAGTTCAGTTTATTTTACCAAATTTTTCAAAATGGCCTGACAAAATTTTAATGTTAAAAGATTCAAATTCTATCACTGTTAAATTATATATCTGCTTTATATGGGCTTGTTAGCCTTTTGCAGATTTAATTGACCTAGACATTAACATACAGCGTACACGTATGATGAGAAAATGTGATATAATTGGATTTATGTAGGTGGGTCGGATCAACGCACAAGATAAGATTAGTGAATTGGTCATCTATATAAGTCGTGGCTCCAATTCCTTACAACCTCGAAACACAGACGCAAGAAAGCAAACAATTAATAAAAAGTATCAAATTAGAGAAGCTGATTTATTTCAATGGATGATATAAAGGAAAAAAATTGAATATCAAATTCTAAAGATACATCAGATGGGGTTAATTTGTTGCTAATTGGTCAAAGGCAACATTGGGTAAGACTATAATATAAGTCAAAGTGGTTTCAACTTTACAATAAATTCATGATTTCTTGACCAAAGAGTCCTTCAAAAACCACTTTATGAAATTAAAAAAAAGTTTCACATATCACATTTTTATAACATTGAGTAGGACTACAATATAAGTCAAAGTGGTTTAAACTTTATACAGGGCCTTTAAGGATTTTATTCTATTATATTTTCAGGTAATGGAAACTTAAGATGATTGAGAGAGAAAATACTAGAAGTGAGATAATTATTTCTTATGATATTCTATCTATTATGAAAGCAATCAAGTCATCCATAGAAAATTAAACAACTATGACATAATAGTAGAATCATGAGAAAAGATTGAGTTTCATTCACATGCTGCAAATTCCATCCAACATGTGATTGCTTTGCCAGCAGAAATCGGATAATGTCTGAAAATATTTTCTCGAAGATCACGACAATGTCTGTCGTTGGTAATCATACAGTGGTGACATCTATGGCTGATAATACAACACAAGATCGCGGTGTGTTTTTCCTTGACGATCCTTCACAGTTTTTCTACACAGCGTCATCGACAACAATTATTACAGTCATAATGCCATTGATCTTATCAATCGGGATAATAGCCAACTGCGCATTTATATACATTATTATAAGGTTAAAACGAATGCGAACGGTCACTAACTTTTACCTTGCAAATTTAGCGATTGCAGATTTCATTTACTTGTGTATAGTGGTTAGCGATAAACTTCTGCGTTATTATACATCACCGTTTAGTAAAGACTATAGTCCTTGGGGAAGTCAGCCATGTAAATTAATAACAGCACTAATCTTCGTACCTCATTTTGTTTCTGAGTTGACAATTACATTGTTCACTTTCGAGAGATACACAGCGACAAAACACTCCAGGAGGACTCTTTATACTAAGACAAAACTGAAATGTCTTTTGTATATAATCGTGACGTGGATCATTTCGGGTGCCTTGATTACTCCATGCCTGTATTTCATTAATGGTAAAACGTTCCTTCTTCGCTGGATCGAAGATGACGCACTTAAGGAAAGAATAATACGGAAATGCGGTCCTTTTCCGATAACATTATTTGGAGGCGTTACACTACAATGCCATGCTTTGCAGACAGTGCCGTTCTTCTTCAGCGCTGTCATGATCATTGTGTTGAACACTTTGATCGTAAAAGCGCTTAATAAAAGCACTATCGTCTCGAAGAAACTTTTTTCTAAAGACAACAAAGCTTTGGCCGAAAGGAAACAGATCATTAGAATGCTAATTGCGACATCCATCATTTTTTATATCTGCGTTTTGCCTTATTACATTGATGACATCATCAATGCGCTAGTACGATTGAATCTCATAACACAATTTAAAATCCCAGCTGAATTCCTACAAATAGGGCGATTTCTGGCATACTCAAATTCAGCCATAAATATTCTGATATACAATATGTTCAGCAAACGGTACCGACAAGCCTTTTACAAAGTATACTGCTGTTGTAAAGATACCCCTGCCTTTGACCAAGAAAGTTTCACTAACAGATCTTGGATACATAAAATAACTTTGAGACGTCTGAATGGTACCAAACACATTCCAAATTTTCATGAACACATTCCAACTATTTCAAAAGCCTGTCAGGAGAATCCTGGTATTAAAGAAGAGGTGATTGAAAATAAGAAACTTCCTACTATTTATGAAGAGGCAGCCTGTGACAGTACCATGGTAACTGAGTATATTGCTACTATCTCTGAATCCACCTATCTTTAGGAGAAATTATTTTTCAGGAAGAATAAGCCACAAGTCATACACCCCTGGGGTGTCTTTATCATTGTTTTGTAAATATGTGTATATGATTTTAGTAAATAAAATAAAAAATAAATAAAAAAGTTCAAAGTTACCTCAAACATGGGCTTTCAAGCTTAAAAGCCCATGCCTCAAAGTTACACATTGACACAATCCGTCTCCTTCGAGACTTGTGGGTTAATATATGACTTCTGATTTCCCCTTTGGAAAAGTTAATTTCTCAAAGATAACAAAGTCTGTATGTCATTATGTCAGTAAATAATAAATGTTACTTGGTATAACTTTTAAAACATTTCATGTTTGATTGAAATATCGAGGAATTCTGGTATCCTGAATTTCTTACTGCAAAATATGACATCATTAGCTGATGTAATCTGAAGTAAGCTACCAGTGATTAAAGTACAACAAAATATGTGTCCCCCAAAAATACATAAATCACCATTAAAAGAAATGATCTTGTTGAACAGCATATGCTACTTTCAAAATCATGGATTCACCCCTGTTTAGGCAAATGTGTTTGGAATGAGGTATTAGTACCCAACACAAATTTGAGAGTAATTTTTTCCACATTTACGCATGTCAACATGGGTTAATAATAGTATTCCATGTAATAATTCTTAAATACATGTACATATACTGTTATTCCACTTTTGGGGTCTTTTTCTTCTAAATAAAAAATGAGTTAAAATATGAGAAAAACATTATTCTCAAATTTGAATGTGGGGTACTATATTTGAAGGTGAATCTACAATTAGTTTGCTCACCTGTGCATTCTCATAGAACAAGACATCAGGGACTTTCATCTTTGTTTCTGGATTATGTACAGCTACCTCTGTGGTCCCAATCCTCAGTATTCCCTCTTTGATTTCACCTGATAGAATATGAATTGAATTTATATGAATGTAGGTAGTCACAAAAGAATATCACAAAAGTGTTACAATTGTTACAAATACCAGGCCCGTAGCCAGGAGGGGGGGGGGGGGGGGGTTCCCAGGGTTCGGGCGAACCCCCCTAGGCCAAAAATTCTTTCAAAATCATGCAGTTTTTCACCATTTTGAGCACTTCTCAAGTGATTTTAGCCATATTTGGACTAAAATTGTCAAATATGAACCTCCCCTGGACATTTTTAAAAACTGAACCTCCCTTGGCAAATCCTGGCTATGGGCCTGAATACTGTAGCTGAACACTGAATTCTTGTCAGGTGGCTATAACTAAAACTAATATGTCATCATTTCTTGATGGTAAAAATATATTAAACATCTTCAGTCTTCAACAACTTAGTGATGCGAAGGTTTTAAACTACTGTACTGTAGATAAAGCAGCAAAAAACCTTTCAACTCACATGTGATGGATTTCTCAAGGTTGTCTACTGTTCTGGTCTCTGTTACCTTGGTGATCCCTACATCTTCCATGACTTGGTCAAGGGACTGTTTAGCCATGCGAGGTAGAAATCTGTGACACATAAATACAGCATCATAAAACTGTAGACTTTGAATTTTGGTTTGCATAGTTGCTTTAAATAAGAAATATACCATATTCTTTATAACGAAAACATATCACCAAAAGAAGGGACATGAGACTTTATGACAAATATTTTCCAAATTAGTTCATAGATGTCACTGTGCACTGTGAAAATATGATGTATATGATCCTATGATTCATCATATGGAAATGAACGATTCCTTAATGGCATAATCTTTTCTATCCAAAGAATACATGGAGCTGTCAATTTATTTTCAACTTGCAACTTGAAGTCATGACTTAATGAAAATATTCTTTCTCTGAAATACATCTGATGTATCTACGATTCAAATCACACAACCTGAGGCAAGAAATATGACGTCTAAAGACTGGAAAGTTGCGTTACTAACCTTGAAAGACAAGCTTTGTGGATGATGTCATAAAAGTTGGATTCTGGGTATTTTGCGAGACGATGGGCGATTCTAACCAGCTGGCGAGTGGAGAGGGAGGAAGCTATTGACTGGACCTAAACACATATCAAGGTAAAATATACTGTACTGAGTCATATCAGGGGTTTCATAGCAGCATTCAACAGGCGATTTTCACTGGTCGTTTTCACAAAAATCGCCTATTGTTTTTAGGGAAGTTTCAACTTTTCCATGTTAAATTCATGGTTTCCAGTAATTTTGCCTGTTGTTTTCATTAATTTAGCCTGTTGTGAGAAATTCTAGTGAAGCCCCTGCAAATGTTATTTCCTAGCATTACTGTACATGTGTATTATTGTAACAAATGGCTCATTTAGTTTCACTTTCAAGGTTAAACCGTTGAGAGTGTTTAACATAAGCATGTATCTTGAGACGTGAAATGCTACCACCCCCACACACTTATATATCTCAAAAAGAATCACCTGCTTCACCATTGATGCAATTTTACCTAAAATAAGTACTTTATTTTCAAATTTGATAGTGTTACTGGCGAAAAGTAGATTTTAAATTTACAAAATTACCACTTTAGATAAGTGATTAATATAATTACTTACAGTGGTATCATGTGAGGCTCTGAGCTTATTGGTCAATTCTAATATAGGACTCAAGTTAACTGCATCAGGCACCTGGAAAATAAAATAAGCATTAGAATCACACCGGAATAGCCTGACAACGGTAAAGTCAGATACCGTTGTCACAAATGGCTGACTTCAACTCTCGCTTGGTCCTCGTTTCATGGGTTTTTATTGTCGCTAACTCTGTGCATGTATTAAGTTGCTGTGATGATGTATCATATGAAATCCCAAAGCGATGGTTATGTCCGCCATTTGTGACAACGGTATCTGACTTTACCATTGTCAGGCTATTCCAGTGTGAGGATTGAGTCAAGTCCAGTGGGGTCAAGTTGATATATGGTTGGATCCATATCATTTTTTACACAAATCGAGGTTTGATGATCAATCAGCAGGGATGCACCCATTACCCATACACAAAAGTAAATCACACGGGGATATTTATTTCTATTCTCAATTCTCATTTTCATTTTTATCAAGATATTAGTACAATTTTGTGTCCATGCCATCTATACATGTTACAGTGTTCGCGTTGACGCCGTTTTTTTGCCATTTTTACGGAAATTTCAGAAGGTTGGACGTAAAAATCAAAATCAACTTACGTCCCTAGGACGCAAGAATTATAAACTGCTTCAAGATAACTTTTACTGCAGCACAGTAGCGGTGAAACATGATTTTCATCAAGATTTTCAAACTCACTACATTGATATACGGGGAGCAATGATCCAGGTATATTTATATCCACAAATCTGATTGGCTATCATGACTACCGAAGATTAACAGGGTTTCCGGAATGAGACATGGATTTTGATTGGTTCCAATATATTCCGGAAAATGCCGCAATCGAAATGGAAGATCAAAACATACAATATTGCAGAAATCCCCTGTGGTTCCCCACAAATTGAAACAATTGATTTTCACGATTATCTTTATTATTTCCACTAGAAACCATTTGTGATATAGTAAGATTAAAAGTGAATTGAAATATAGATGGCATGCTAACAATAACATTAAAAGTAGATTGAAGATAGATGGCATGCCAGTTTTTACCCAGAAAAGTCAGTTGACAAGAAGTGGCCATATATGAGACATGAAATAACTAGAAGCAGAGAAAGGAAATAAAGATATCGAAAGAACTAAAGGACAGTAGCGACAATAACCGATAGATATAGTAGTAAGTAACATATTCACATGGTGGCGGCGAAGAAAGAACAAGCGCTTCAGGAGAGGTAATATAGTTACATTACTTTGTGCTCAAGGATTCTGACATTTTGATGAAGGCAAGAAGCCCATGCAAAAATATCTGCATCTCAATACAGAAAAGTGAACATTGGCCAGTCAACTCAAGTTATAAGATATAAGATAAAACCAAAGTGGTAAAGAAAAGCAAATCTAGAGATAAAAGCCAAATTGAATAAGTGAGCTTCATTGGCAAAATATTGAGGTTTCAAGATAACCAAAATAAGGAAAGCAAAAGTCAAATATCAATCATATACAGTGGCAATCATAAAGCTTAAAAGTAAAGCAGTGCCCTATAGTAAGCATGATTTGATATGAAGGAAATGCATTGAAGTTGCATCCAGGAGTAAAAATTGGAAAACTTGAAGTTTCAAAAAGGAAATTTTACAAAGTTACAATTTGCTATTTACATGGTATATTTTACATTGGTTTTGTATTCAGTGCAATATATTGATTTTGAACACTGTTTATTAGATTTAAGTGTCCCAGTTAGTTAGTTAGGTGTGAACTGTGAAGTTATAATTAGCCAAGTTTAGATGCTTTTTTTCAACTTTTGGCGCACTCACTAAGCAGAGCATAATAGGTAGCCTGAGTTTATGTTATTGAAGGCCATTATCAAATTTAAAATACTTTTTGCCATTTTAGAAGGTCAAGTTGACCTCTCAGTCTGTTTGCAAACAAGTATGGCTTGCCAATAGGGCCAGTGTAATTGATACAAGGCCTGGCAATAGATGATTTACTACAGTTTAGTGAAAGATTGACATTCCTTTAAAGAATTATAATTAATTATAGTTAGTGATTAGTGATTTAGCATCATAGTCTACAACTTGTGTTATTTATACCAATAGCATATCAGTTTTAAGCTTTAAGACAGTTAGTTTTGAAACTTCTCATAATCGTTTAACATATAGTTACAAGTTAGAATAAAGTTAGATAGAAATGCAAGTTACATTCTCATAATCAAGATATAGAATACTGGATTCAGTTAATTCTCTATTAAGATATTAGATTTATAGGAAGCCATTTCTTTTAACATATAGTTACAAGTTAGCATAAAGTTAGATAGAAATGTAAGTTACATTGTAACGACACTGTGATGATATATCAGGTACTATTCAGATTTTGTATAAATTAAAACAGATCTATATGGTTCTTGTGTTATTGTTTGGTGTGGTGTATTAGTTAATATTCAATGTTATGGATACAAGATCAACAAAAGCTGAAGACAGAAAGAAAACAGGTATGGCTGAATCTAAAGATAACAGTAAACCTACTCAAGTTGATGATGATCAGTACTATGATGACTTTGACCAAGGCGTTGAAACTAAGCCAACACAAAGGGATCCTGAATTTGGTCCACAACAAGGAGGTGATAGTACAATGATGATGCGTTTCATGATGGAGATGTTTGACAAAATGGAACATTCCCGTATGCAGCTAGAAGAAAGAAGAGTTAGGGAACAGCAAGAATACCGTGAGGAAAATAGGCGACTCATTGAAGAAATTCGTCATGAAAAGAAACAAGAAGAAAAGCGCCCCAAGGATCCCTACATAACGAAACTGAAAGATGGTGATGACATCGAGGATTTTTTGACTGTGTTTGAGAGAACTGCAAAGATGTGCAACTGGAAGAAGGAGCATTGGACACTGAAATTAGCACCATCTTTATCAGGAAAAGCACAGGCTGCTTATGTCAGTTTGAATGCTGTTGATGCCATAGATTATGACACAGTCAAAGAAACTATCCTGAAGAGATATGCGATTAATCAAGAATCTTACAGAACTCGTTTTAGGAATCTTCACAGATCTAATGATGAAGGAATTAAGCCCTTCGCAATTAGACTGACTGATGCTTTTGACAAATGGTCGAAGGATGCTGTAGAGATCAACTCAAGGATCTTATCGTCAAGGAGCAGTTAATTAGCACCTTCCCCAGTGATGTGCAAATTTGGGTCAGACAGCATGACTCAAAAACAACTGATGAAGTTGTGCACTTAGCTGACAATTACATTGAAGCAAGAAAATCTCAGAAGGAAGATGTAGAAAAAGCAGAAGCCAAGTCAAAGTTCAAAAAGTTTGGAAACAAAACCAACCCAAAGAAGAACAAAGATGATGAAGAAAAACCATCTGATACAAGTGAATCAAAAGAAGACTACTACAAGAAAGTCAAGGACACGTCACGGTGCTTCAAATGTGGAGTCCGGGGCCACCATTCGGCTTCGTGCCAGAGTGGGAAAGAGATAATGAAATGTACAAAATGCAACAATTTGGGGCACGTGATCTCAAATTGTAGCACAGATATGTCCTTGAAATGTGAAAATTGTAATATGTTTGGTCATGTCACGAGCCGGTGCCGTAGACAAGGCAAACAATCTTTCCTTTGCAAGGCAAAATCTGACATATTCTCTCAATACAGCAACAGTGATGATGGGACAGTTCAAGGGATGCTGAATGATAAAGAAGTGACCTTATTGATTGATACAGGAAGCTGCAAGACCATCATTCACAAAGATTTGGTACAACCTGAGGACATTTTAACAAATGACAAGGTCATGATGACATGTGTTCATGGGGACCAGGAATCTTACCCGACTACAAAAGTAAAGTTCGCCATTGGTGATGATGTATATTAAGTGAAAGCAGTCGTTTCTGATTCAGTCCCTACACCTGTCTTACTTGGTCAAGACATATTGAAAAGATTAGACAGGGATAAAATGAATAAGTACATATACAAAAAGATCAACCCTGTGCCTACATATGTTACAACGAGGCAACAATGGAAGCAACAGTTGAGAGATGACGCAGATGAGAAACATGAAGTTGAGAATTCAGGAGTCAAGTTAGTTGGACAGCATGAAGAAAATGATGTTCAAGAAGATGATGTTCTCATTAAAGAAGATGAGGATTATCCAAAAGAAGATGATGTTCTCATAAAAGAAGATGAGGATTATCTAAAACAAGATGATGTTCTCACTGAAGGTGATGAGGACAATTCAAAAGAAGAGGAAGTTCTGACCGAAGATGATGAGGACAATCCAAAAGAAGATGATTTTCTCACTGAAGATGATGGGAATATCCCTAGAGATGCAATTTTCTCTGAAGTAGAGGAGAATGATCCAGAAGATGATGTTCTCATTGAAGATGATGAGAATATTTCTGAAGAAGATGACATCAACATAGTAGGCAAGTGTAAACTCAAAGATGATATTCGTGGGCATACACCCACAGCTGTAGTACACAATGTGACACAGAATGAATATCAAACCAAAGATGATGTCACATTTCCTTTTTCATTTGATGAGACAGTGTTTCTACCCAAGTCAAGTGACAAGCTGTACAAAACCAAATCACAAAGAAGGGCAACCAAACGGAAACATGCAAATGTCAATCTAAACAAGGAATGTGAACTTGATGCAGTCAGTCCAGAGGACCTAAAAGAATTGCAAAGCAACGACCCAAGTCTAAGAGATGTGCGAATGAAGCTACTTATCTCGACTGAAGAAGTGCGAGAAACTCCATACTTTATTATGAAAGATGGACTTCTGATCAGAGTTACTAAGAATCCCCTTAACGAGTATGTTGAGCAAATTGTGCTTCCTAGAAGTTGTAAGAAAAAGATACTACAATTGGCACATGACATACCTCTATCAGGGCACCTAGGAATAAAGAAGACAACAGACAGGATATTGAGGAGATTTTTCTGGCCTGGTATCTACAAGGACATAAAGCAGTTTTGTAAATCTTGTGATATCTGCCAACATACAGCGAGAATGAGAGTTGTTGACAGAGCGCCTTTGATCCCTCTGCCTGTTGTAAAAGAACCATTTACAAAGATAGGTATGGACATAGTAGGACCTCTTCCTCGCTCTACAAAAGGAAACAGATTTATTCTTTGTATAGGAGACTATGGAACACGTTATCCAGAGGCAGTCCCACTTAGAAGTACAGATGCCAAGAAAATCGCCAATGAATTGATGATACTGTTTTCAAGAGTCGGCATTGTAAAGGAAATTTTAAGTGATCAAGGAACCAACTTCATGTCTAAGTTACTGAATGAGGTGTACAGCCTTCTAGGTGTCAAAGGAATCAAGAGTACCCCATATCATCAACAAACAGATGGCCAAGTTGAAAGGTTCAATGGTACTTTGATTAACATGCTGAAGAAGTTTGTTGTTGTAGAACCAAAACTATGGGATGTTTACCTTCCCTATGTTTTGTTCGCATATCGTGAAGTACCAAATGAATCTACAGGATTTTCTCCCTTTGAATTGCTCTACGGACGTGATGTTCGAGGACCATTAGATGTTCTAAAAGAGACGTGGACAGCTAGAGAAGACACCCCACAGACTGTTGTTGATTATGTTCTCAAGATGAGAGATAAGCTAAGCAACTTACAGATTCTTGCTGAAGAAAATGCAAAACAAGTAAAAGTTACCCAGAAGAAGTACTACGATGAAAAGAGTAGAAATATTAGCTTCAAACCAGGAGATGATGTTTTACTCCTACTACCATCAAGTGAAAACAAACTTGAAGCACAGTGGCAAGGCCCTTATAAAGTAGTAAGAAGACATGGTAAAGTCAATTATGAGATTGAGCTCTTCAATGGAAAGATGAAGATATACCATGTCAACTTACTGAGAAAGTACCTAGACAGAAGAGACTATTGTTTTATGGCGGCAACTGATGAGGAAGACAGTGATGTAGAGGAAATTATGAATCTTCCTACCTACAGTCTACACAGTACAGTTAGCTCTGACGTCAATGTGACTATTGATTGTAATATCAATCCAGAGTTGACAACTAACCAGACAAAACAAATCAAGAAGCTATTAGGCGGTTTTAGTGATGTTCTCTCAAACAAGCCAGGAAGAACAAGCCTGATAAAACATAATGTAGACAAGCAGCCAAGCTATAGAATACCTCAAAGTCAGATGAAAGTCGTCAAAGAGGAATTAGATACAATGTTGAAGGAAGGATACATAGAGCCCTCTAGAAGTGAGTGGATCTCTAACATAGTATTAATTCCAAAGAAAGATAATACTATGCGTTTTTGCATCGATTTTAGATATCTAAATAGTGTCTCCCGATTTGATCTTTACATGATGCCAAGGATTGATGCCATTTTAGATAGATTGCATAAGGCACAATGGATTACTGTGATCGATTTATGTAGGGGCTTTTGGCAAATACCTCTTACAGATGATTCTAAAGAGAAGTGTGCATTCAGAACACCATGGGGAATCAACCAATTTGTTGTAATGCCGTTTGGTTTACATGGAGCTCCTGCCACTTTCCAAAGAATGGTTGATGAGATGATCAGAGGATTAGAAGACCATGTAGCAGCTTACATCGACGACATAATCATCTATAGTGAGACTTATGAAGATCACATGAAGCACGTAGAAGAACTGCTGAACAGACTACGACTGAATAATCTTACTGCAAAGCCTTCAAAGTGCCAGTTTGCATTTCAAGAAGTAGTATATTGTGGCCATATGGTAGGAAAAGGTGTTGTTTCACTGAAGCCAAGTGCCATAGATACAATCAAGAATTTTAACAAGCCAGAAACAAAAGAGTTACTGAAGACCTATTTAGGTATGACAGGCTACTATCCCCATTTTATAAAGGATTATGCAACCAAGGCATACAACTTAACAGAACTGACCAGAAATCAAGCACCAAGAAAATATTTTGGGAAGATAAGTCGGATGAAGCTTTCTACAAACTCAAAGAATACCTTTGCAAATACCCAATACTTCGAAGCCCAGATTTTGACCTACAGTTTCTAGTCATCACTGATGCAAGTGCCTATGGTATTAGTGGCATTCTGAGTCAGAACTTCGAGGATGGAGAGCATCCCATCATGTATTTGAGTAGGAAAATGTTACCAAGAGAAAGCAATTACTCTGTAATTGAGAAAGAATGCTTGGCGATGAAATGGTCTATAGAGAAGTTGAGTTACTACTTGCTAGGAAGAGTCTTCAAAGTCATTACTGACCACAATCCTTTGGTATGGTTGCATAACATGAAGAATACAAACCCAAGATTGATGCGTAATCAAAATAGCGTAATCCTGCCCACAGGTGTCAGTGGGGATTTCTCTTGGAATAATACCTGTTTTTGAAGTGATATTTACGTCTCTGTGCATAATTGTACGGCTAGATTGGACTATGAATACTGAGTGCATACTCCGATGCAGTATTGGAATAAGTGATGTACTCTAACTACGAGAAATAGCCATTTCGAGTGTCAATTTTCCGACAAAGTTGAATACAAGATGGCGGCCACAAATATAGAAATGGACCCTAGTTTGGATAGGTTACTGAGCTCGGCTGAATGCTCTCCACGCCATGATATCGTAGAACAACTTATTATGGACTATGATTTTGATATGCTGGATGAAGCAAGGACGTACCAGTTCTCAAAACTTCAATTGTATCTGAGTACTCAATGCGAGAAACTATATGGACCCGTGTCAACGAGGGGTGAGGATCAAATTGACGATATCAAGCCAAAACGCCGAACTGGAGACAAGAAAATAGTAAGCATGGCGAATGATATTTATGATATGTATGTTTATCTCATGTGTCTCACTGATCACTTCCCTAGGAACATTTTAACCCCGACAAGACGACTGCCTGAAGGCTTTGCCCGTGGGCCTGATGCCCAGCGTAATAGGGTGATTGACGCACCAGCTGCACCCTCGGTAATGGACCTAACAGCAAAGGTAACAGAGATCACTATGGATTACCGTAGGGTCATTCAGGAGATGGATTTATTGAAACGCAAATGCAGTAAGTTGGAAGAGGATGTAAAAATCCTTACAGAGAAAGTGTGTTTACAAAATATGACCTTGGAAAAGCCAGCCCAAGGTAATGTGTCATTGTGTCCTCCCCTGCATAATACACCAGCGCCTGCTGATTTATCTAAATCGCCGAACAAGGCTAATTGCATGTCAACTACAGCTACAAAAGCTGCTGTTTCTAATCCGATTAACTCTACTCAACCTGTGTTGAGGCAACACAATTCACAAACACTTGAACCACAGGGTGCCTCAAATACAAAACGCAGTGACACGGCTGTTGTTTTAAACAACCGGATTAGCTCAGCTACTGAATCGGTCACCCAAACGACGAACCGTTTTGCTGTCTTGACCGATAGTGCCAATTGCGGACAGGGTCAGATCGCCACTAACCCCGCTACTTCGAACAAAAACATTATGCCTGATTTGCCTGACAAACAATCAAAACATGCTTCATCTGAAAAACAAGATGGCGGTATAGCGCATACAGGCAAACACGTACACACGAGCGATAACGAAGATCAAAGTGGTTTCGAAGTTCTTATGTCCCAAGACAAGATGGACAGAGAATCTAAAGATACTGAGAATGATTGGTGTATATATTCATCCCGAAGGAATAAGCGTCATTACAGTACACCTGTTTCAGGCCAAATTCCGTCAAAGACACCACTGTCGTTCGCGAATGTTGTTTCTAAACCCAAGCCCAAGACTTCTGCCCCGACCAAGACGCCCGCGCCTATACCTACCCGTACGAAGCCAGGCCGTGGTCTACGTGGTGTAACTGCTGTTAGAACGACGACGCTGTATTTGGAAAATATAGCAAAAGAGGATATTGAGTCCGATGAAGATATCATTCTACAAGTTAAGGACTGTGCCCTTGATAGTGAAATTAATATTAGACAAGCATATATTGTCCATAACAAAGTGAGCACGAAACGAGTAGGATGTAAAATCATCATTCCCAAAGACCATGTTGAGCGAGCCCTCTCTATGGATGCATGGCCCCACCCGGTAAAGTGTAGAAAGTGGGAATATTTACCAAAGCGTAAAAGGAACACGTACCGTGATTTTAAACAGATGCTAGCGTATAACGATTGGAATTCAGAAGTGCACGACTTATCTGGTGATGATAACCTTGATTATGATAACATATATGAAGCAACTAATGAATTCTACAGGATATCGCAGTGGGGACAAAGTGGAAATAACATGATACTTAACCAAGATGATAATGGCAGCTAAACCCATAACAGTGACTGCGTGGAACGCAAATGGCCTCAGTGCATCTAGCCCTTATCTTGGGAAACTACTCTCCCAGTCAGATATCCTATGTCTGAGTGAACATTGGTTATATGAATCTAGTCTTGACAAGTTAAATGATTTTGATAAACGTTTTGATAGTATAGCCGTCAGTAGTAAAACTCTAGACCCATTAAACCAGGGTCACTGTATAGGTAATGGCGGGGTGGCCATCTTCTGGAGACGTTCATTGACACGTTTTATTTATCCACAAAAACGATTGTCTTCAAGTGATAGATTCGTTATCATAAAAATAATGCAACCTGGTTTCAAAACCCTGTACATAGCTTCTGTATATTTACCTCAACGTAACTGTAAAACATCCAATTTTGCAGATGTACTAGATGAGCTTGAGGATGTGATATGGACGATGAAACAGGATGGGGATGTACTGATAATTGGTGATGTAAATGCCAATCTAGGATCCCTTTATGGGGGTCGAGGTGTTGGTAAGATGAGTAGTAATGGTGTATTGTTAAATGATATGTGTACTCGATGTAGCTTAAATGTAATTGACTTAACAGATAAATGTTCTGGCCCAGAGTATACATACTATAGAGAAAATGTAGGAAGCTCTTATATTGATCACTGCCTTGTATCAGAAGAATATGCTCATAGAGTTAAAACTGTAAAAGTGATTGATGAAGAATTGATAAATAATTCTGACCATTTACCCTTGCAGGTCGTTCTTGACGCATCTACCTTAGTGCCAATCACACCCTCGTCTGACAAATGTAATCCTGTAAAGCTAGCATGGGACAAGCTGGATGCAAATGCGCTACATGACAAGTATACTGTCCCCCTGACAGCGTCTCTTAAAAGCCTTAATGATAAGCTAATTAATACTAAGCGTGAAGTAACGCCTGGCTTACTCGATTCCCTGTTTGAAGAATTGACTGACATCTTAAAGGTTGTATCAAGGGATGCCATACCTAGAAGGTGCTTTAAGAAGCACCTGAAGCCGTATTGGACTAATGCATTGCGCCAGCTAAGTACAGAGAAAAAGACTGCATGCAGGATATGGACATTAAATGGCAGACCAAGGAACAGAGACAATGAACATTGGATCCGTTATAAGGCTGCCAAACGTCAATTTAGGAGGGAAATTCGTCGTGCTGAGTACAAGTATGAGATGGAATGCCAGGAGGAGATTGACAGAGCAGGAGAGATAAGCATGAAGCAATTTTGGTTTATTGTTAAGAGACGGAGGAAGCGGAGTAACAGCAGCTATTCTATACGTAATAAGGATGGCGTTGTTTTAACAGAGACTGATGAGATCCGGAGTTATTGGATGGATTACTTTAAAACATTAATGTCAATTAAGCCCAATGACAGTTATGATGGTAAACATGAACATGAGATTAACTCAAGGATAATAGATATGATACGGGACAGTTTTACAAATGAGGATGAAGCGCTACAGGATCCATTAGATTACACTGAGATGACTGACCTAATAAACAGCCTCTCTCGGAATAAGGCTACAGGGTGGGATGAAATTAGCACTGAACATTTACGCTTTGGTGAGGACGCCCTTGCGCACATACTTGTCATATTGTACAACCATATTATAAGATTAGAGCACATCCCGAGTAGCTTTAAGCTTGGGGTACTAATCCCCATCTTCAAAGGAGGAAACAAGGATATATTGGAGAAGGACAACCATAGGGGCCTGACGCTAATGACGACTTTCATGAAGTTATGGGAGAAGATAATGGTAACCCGGAGCAGAAGATGCCATAGGAACGAGCCGAAGTCAGAGATGCAGGCTGCAAACAAGGCAATGACGTCATGCCTCCACACCTCGTTTCTGACAAGAGAAGCTATATGTAATGGACTTGAGAATGGTAATGACGTCATAATGGTCACAATGGACATTAGCAAGGCCTTCGACACGGTTTGGCACAATGGCCTCTTCTACAAGCTTTTTAACCTTGGAATACATGGGAAGCTATGGAGGATGTTGCGACTATGCTACAGTGACTACCAGTGTGCAGTAAGGTGTGGAAATGACGTCACACTCTCAGACAAGTTCCCAATATCTCAGGGAGTCCACCAGGGAGGGCTTTACTCCATGGAGCTCTACGGGGAGTATATGAATAGGCTACTCTTAGATGTGATTGGCTCAGGGAAAGGATGTTCTGTGGGGGATGTAGTATGTACATGTCCATCCTATGCCGATGATACAGTCATCATTGCTTATCATAGGAAGACAATGCAGGACATTTTAAACATGATGCATCAGTACAGCACAAAATGGCGTTTCAAGTATCACCCTGATAAGTGTAAGGTTATTGTATTCAGCAACAATCGTGCTACGCAACATACCGGGATAGACCTGATGATGGGGGGTCGCAGATTAGAAGTAGTCCAAACAACCCAACATGTTGGACTTCCCTTGTCAAATAACAACAGTAACAGAGAATTGATTGAGACTTCATTATCCAAAGGAAGGAGAGCAATGAACGCCTACGTGGGGACAACAACACATACTCAGAATCCAACTAACCCCCTCACTGCGTCAAAGCTATATTGGTCCGTTAGCATGCCCTCAATGACATATGGGATGGAGCTAGTCCCACTGAGTGAAAATGATTACAAGTTGTTAGAGCAGGGACATAGAAGCATCTGTAAGAAACTACAAGGCCTGCCAGTAAACACATCTGATCCAGCTGTGCTACCGCAACTAGGCTGGCATACGATGACGGCAACTATAGTAATAGCTAAAATGATGTTTCTGCTACAACTTCTTTCCCAGGTCCAAGGATCGATTTATCGTAGCATAGCAATAAAGCGCATCATAAAGTTCAGATATGATTCTACTTCACTGCATAAATTGTCCCCTATAGGTGACATAATGACACTTGCGTCACGGTTTGGAATATCGGAAATGATATATGATATGATGGGTAACGGCGTAGTTCCCACAAAGTCTACCTGGAAACGATATGTCAGGAATATCGTAAGGACATTTGAATATAACATATGGAGGAGAGAATTGATTACATATGATAAGCTATCATTATACCGAACTATAGTGACTGGTACCAAACCGATAGCATGGTGGGAAATTGCCAGACAGGACTGTAGGTTTATTAAAAGAAGCACCCTGATGGTGCGGCTGCTCACTGGCCACGGAACCCTCAAAGCTATAACTGGCGAGTGGGAAAATGTCCCTATGATTAACAGAACATGTGAAATGTGCGACATGCAGCGTATTGAAACTCTGGAGCACTTTATCTTAGAATGCCCCGAATACAGCACTTTAAGAACTAACATTATAAATATACTTTGTAGAATACCAAATGGTAGACACATGACCAATATGCTTAAGTTACGATGCATCTTTGGTGGAGATGATACCCTCTCAAATGAAGATCTCAAATGCATTGCAACAGATGTGCAAAACATGTACATTCGAAGGCTCGAGAACAGCAACACTATAACTTAAAGTACCAACCAGTATGTCGACAAAGGGCTGTGATTGGCACTCCTGGTGATGTCTAAGTAAATTGATGTTTTATATAATGTATCTTTTCCTGTGTGCACAGGGACCCCCAGGGCAGAATATGTGCTAACCACGGGGTTTCTGTTGTGTCACTGCTCAATGAGCAAATATATATAGTAATTGTTATTCTTATTACATTTATTACATACTGTAAATAAACATTATCTCCAGGATTGGAGGGTCAATAAATATAATAATAATAACTAGACTTTGGAAATTGAACGAAGTTCAATTTCAGACTCCAGATCTAGACTTTTTTAAGCCCAGTCATCTAAAATAAGCCGAGTCATCCAGAATAAGATGGATGGATAAAATAGGAAGGTAGGATAGGATAGAATGGGAAGGAACGATAGGATAGAATAAGAAAGAAGGATAGGATAGAACAGAATAGGAAGAAAGGATATGATAGGAGAGGATAGGAAGGATAGGAAGGAAAGGATACAAAGGAAGGATAGATAGGAAGAATAGGATAGAATAGGATCAGATAGGAAGGATGGATGAATTTTTCAATATTATCTTCTTTACTCTTGACTTTCTATCAGGATACCATCAGATCGAATTTCCGAAATTTCAAAACGCCATAACTTCCGAACCGGAAGTCGAATCTAAATTTGATTTAAAGATTCGGATTCCTGACAAAATTCTACCCCTAATTCATAACTCATACGCTAAATTTGGCGAATTTTTATTTTGACCTACTTTTTGGACACGCCATAACTTCGGAACCGGAAGTCGGATCGAAATTTGGTTTGCAGATTCGGATTTCTGAGAAAATTCTATTCTTAATTCATAACTCAAACGTTAAATTTGGAAACTTTTTATTTTGACCTACTTTTCGGACACGCCATAACTTCCGAACCGGAAGTCGGATCGAAATTTGGTTTGCAGATTCGGATTCCTGACAAAATTCTACCCCTAATTCATAACTCATACGTTAAATTTGGAGAACTTTTTATTTTGACCTACTTTTCGGACACCATATCTCAAAAGTGGGTCAAAATACTTTCTGACGGCAAGAGGCTAACACTATTAGCACACTCTTGGCTACATGTATACACAATTTCGAAGAATATAATTGAAGTGTAGTGTCAGAATCGCAAAAATAAGGAAAACCTTTGAATTTGACCTAGATTTTGACCTAGGCATTTTGGTGTCCAAATTTTGAAGCTAGATGGCTTTTGAGGTCCTCTTCTTGTGAAGGCTTTCATTAAATTAAGCTGAACTCAGTCTATATTTCGAATTTTTCACTTCAAAAAAATCTTTTTTCCCATTGACTTAACATGGGCACCAAATTTAGCGATTTTTGAGCTTTCAAAACGCCATAACTTCCGAACCGGAAGTCGGATCGAAATTTGGTTTGCAGATTCGGATTCCTGACAAAATTCTACTCCTAATTCATAACTCATACATTGAATTTGGAGCACGTTTTGGTGTGACCTACTTTCCGGACGCCATATTTCAAAATCGGTAAGAGTAATCAAAAAACGGATGGCACACTTATGAAAGGGCTGTTTGTAAGCTACAGGATGAAAAAACGATGAAGACGTTTCGAGAAATAACGACGAAGATAATAGACAGAAGGTTGAAAATGTAAGATTTGACCTAGTTCTTGACCTTTGACCTAGATAAAAATTTGACCCAATTTCCCACCAACTAGATACTGAACCTAAATGAACTGTATAATGGTCTTTACTGGATACCTTATAGTTATTGAAAAAACTCTTAAAGAAAAATAATAATAATAATAATAATAATAATAAGAAGAATACTGGCAAAAACAATAGACTCCAGATTTTCAATCTGGAGTCTAATAATTGGGCACTCGCTCTACAGCAGTACAATTTTACAGTGGTGCATAGACCTGGATCAGCTAATAAAAATGCTGATGCATTGTCAAGACTATAAGATGAGAAACTGTTAGAAACTTGTATATAGATAAACATTTTAACAAAATTTGTTAGAGAAAAGCCATCCCTAATAGGACTTTATATAAGAAATAGAGATACGAAGATGTGACTGTTTTACTGAGATGGAAAAATTTAAAGAGCAAAAACAGTCAAGAAAAGGGGGAAGATGTGATATAGTAAGATTAAAAGTGAA